CGATCCCGATAAATTAACCGTTATAAAAAAAAACATGTAAAAATAATCAATCCAAATAAATAAATGAAGTAATAAACAAATTAAAATAAAGAATAAACTACAACAATCAACCCCAAAATTGAATAAATAGCTTTATCTTCCCAAACCAAAACAAAACTATTAAATAAGCGAAATAAACATTTTTTACTACGTTAATAAAACACTGATTAAAATAAAATAAATAAATAAATATATAAGATAAGAAATAAAAATAAAAAATAAAAAAATAAATAAAAATAAGCAAAATAATTTAACCCAAATAAATAAATAAATAAAAATAACCGCCAAAATAGACTAGCCACAATGCACCACTGACCCGTATATATAAATAGACGAGAAATAAACATCACTTGTGGCCTGACGATTGCGTCTAGCATGAAACAGACTGTCGCCTCTGAGTGTTGACTTCAATGTTCACTTTTATTTTTACACACGCTCTATCTCTGATATTGAGCACTTTATCCCATAAATATAGTACACCTTAAGAGTATATTTCTATATATATATATATATATATATATATATATATATATATATATCTATATATATATATATATGTAATTATTTATTTAAAATATGATTCCATAACATCTCTTTTCACACACACACACACACACACACATATATATATATATATATATATATATATATATATATATATATATGTGTGTGTGTGTGTGTAAGGTAATTTGTTATCCAGTCAGAGTAAGCTTACTCAGCCGCACATTATACCGACTGGACGCTATATTAATGAGTTAACACTTTCGCCTTCATGAATGCTAAATTTTATGGGAAAATAAGATCGAATAAATAAAGAGAGATACACAATAAAATAAAAACAAAAATACATCGAATTAGTGATAATAGGCCATAAGTATCTTCGCCATTCTATTATCTCAAATTGCAGACTAATGAGATTCAAAAGATGGCATGACATATTATTATGATTCTTCTTTTCTAACGCTTGGTGCGTGTCAGTTTAACTAAGAAATGTCTTGGTTAATTCCTTTAGATTTATTAGTCACGCTTTTCTTGCTGTAATTCTCCCAATAACTGTAAATGCAAAAGAAAAAAAGAAAGAAAGAAAGAATGAACAACGAATGATTGACTACAGTGTACTGATTTGTTTTGCTACTTGTTCACTTTACTTGTTGAGAGCGGAATGTGCTTTCTGAGCAGAGGAATGATTTATTACCAGCACATCGATTATTATCACTCAGATATTTTAGACAGCAACATGCCATGCTATGAAATTAAACAAGCATAGACCAAAAGTACAGTCTTCCCACACTCTCATATATCAAATGAGAAATCTTCGTTCAATATTTTAGGGCCAAGTTCAAAATCAAATAACTAATTTTAGAAACATCAAATTTCCCGTTCCTTGAACTTCTGAAATTAGTTATTTCACATTTATTCAAATTGGTAACTTAATTTTTGTTAGTGTTATTACAACCTTTCGGTGGACTATTTTTTCGACTTTTTCGCTGTTTATTACAGCATGTGAACTGTAGCTAGTGTGTAAGTGTATGTGTTTGTGGGTCCTTGAGAAAGAGAAGGAGAGAGAGAGAGAGAGAGAGAGAGAGGGGAAAGAAGGAGAGAGAAAGAGATAGACGGACTATGTTGCGTTGGTGTATGTGCATGCGTGTGTAAGTGTGCTTTTATTTTGATCAAAATAACAGATTTATTCACTTGTTTCAATACTCATTTTAAGGGATTAATTTAAAATACCCAACTTTCATCAGATAGATATTTAAGATAATATTAAATTATTTGTAAAAGATAAAATACCCTGTTAGCCCCCTTTTAAATATTTAAACAACGCTATATGGATATATATATATATATATATATATATATATATATATATATATATATATATATATATATATATATATATATATCTCCCCAACAAAACATCCTAAGGTTTAAAAATGCATTTTAAAAATGAAAAATATTTCTTGAAGTTTTTATTTGAATTTTAATTTCAAGCAAAATACTTTGCTGTATTTCAAACCACAATTAAATTTGATTGGAATGATCTTTTCAATCGTTAAAATAGACGATATTGACAAATATGTCAATATAACATAATACCCTTTATTAAAAAATCTTTCAAAAATGAAATATTTTTTTAAAACTTTATTTTAGGAAGGTTAACTGATTTAAAGTTTAATTAATCAGAATTTAAACAAATATTACTTTTAGTTTAAAATATCGCAAAACGGCGTTTTTAACACGAAGATGGTTGTTTTTATGAGGTGTTCAAAGATTTATTGATAGCTTAATGTTTGTCAAATTTAAGTAAAGTGTACATAACTGTAAAAATGACACATTAAATTTAGTAAAATATTCTAAATAGTCTTATGTTTTATTGAATTTTACGTACTGTCACTTTATAGTCTTACAAAAATGCTTGTTAAGGAAATGTTGGTAAATTACCAATAATTTTTAAAAAATCATACACTATGACATAAATACATTTGCTAAAGGAGCCCATGAAGGACAGGAGACAGGAAAGGTGCGAGAAAGTGCGCATGTACTCTATGTGTGCCCTGTTCTGACACGTGTAAAAGGATCAAGATTTATACTGTGAGTGACTGCAAATATTTTATTCATTTTCAGCCACTAAAATAATGTATATTAATTAGTTTTATTAGTGATGCACAAAAGATGACACTGGAGAGGCATTCCACGAACACTGTGACTCCTTACTGCCTAGAATAATCCTTTCATGGTTCCCTAGTCTTAAATGGGCAAAGGTGTTCACGTTTTATTGCCTGTATCTCGAAACTGCCGTGATATCAGCAAAATCTACACTGCTGCTGATTGCAATTTTCTCTCTACTGACAAGAGCTGCATCATCCGACGTGGCTTATACCATATTTCGGTCTGTTGCGCGCACGTTATTCTTGTTAAAGAACTTTTATTGTTTTTCTGTTGGGTTCTTCATTGTAATCGCCTCATATCATATATGATTATGATTCGAGGTTTGCTTCTTTACCATATCGACTACATTAAATTGATGAGGTATTTTCAGAAATGTCTGTTAGTTTTTACAGGGTTATTTTTCAGTTCCAACGTTGGGTCGGGTTGACAGTGACAGAAAATATTCAGTTAACCAAGAGTTCGCTAAAACAATTTGAAACAAATTGTCAGTTTCCAACTACACCAATAATGATTTGCGGTTTCCCGTAGCAGATTTGTCGAGAAAACATGTTGCTGGAATTGGTCAACCATCGTAAAGATTAGACGGACATTTTAAGACAATGTTACAACCCCTACTCCAAAAAACAAAAAAAACAAAAACAAAAAACAAACAAACACTTCGTTTATTAAAGGTTCACGAATTGATGACACGAAGCCTATTTTCAGACTGACTCAGTAACCTATTTTCCAATGAGCGTTAATTGTATGTTCATTTTTTATTGAACAGCAGAATTACAGTATGTACAGTCTGCGGATTATCCTTGTTAGAAATTATTGAGAGAGAAAGAAATATTTAGATAAAAACGATTTTTTCATTCAGTGTTTCAAACCAGTTTCAACTGCTATGCCAAATTTAACTTCTATATATGTATAATATATATATATATATATATATATATATATATATATATATATATATATATATGTGTGTGTGTGTGTGTGTCTGTGTCTTATATCTGAATTGATTGTTCATGGGTATAGGTATATTTATTTTGTCTCCAAATTTGGTCCCTACATCTTCGCTTGTATCTGCGTCTATAAATTAATCAGTTTTATTATTTTTTATTTCAGGTTATTCTGTGAGTTTCTGCCTGGGAGACGGTTCTAGAAAATAGTCTTATAATTATTCCCGCTCCAATGATTACAAAAAATAAAAAGAAAAGAAAATGGCTGGTTCAAGCAATTACGGGTATATGTCTATGTATCTCACTGACTGAGAGCTGTTTGCAAGAATTATAAAAAGAAAACATCGACAAGCCGTTTGCATCTTTTCACCTGCATCTTTTAAAAATGGAATATTGCTTATAGTGGATATTTTCCCTATGTCTCCCTTCTTAGAAACAACCAAAGACAGACAGTTGTTAGGTTAAAGGATGTAATTTATTTACTTCAATTTTTCTTTAGGGGATTTATTCAGACGACTTGTGATCGGGATTGAAAGTGACGAACTGATCCTTTCTTAACACAAATCTAAATGTACTGGTGCTTTTTAATTTATGTACACAGCCATAACAGATCTCTACAGGTCTGCACGGGTAGCTAAGGTGTCCCAAAACATAGAAACTTGTTTTTGTTTTTCTTCTCCATCGTAAATCGTACAGATTATCTAATTGACCTCAGGTGTTCTCAAAGAAACTGGACAACCTCCTGGTGATGCACCAGAAAAAAGATGTCAGAAACTTACCTAAACCAGACAGAAGGCTCTCAAAAAGTAGAATCTATGGCATTATGAAAAAAAAAACTTACTGTAGATTTTAGAAATCATAAGTGAAAGTGGAGATTGCATAGATCAGCATCTTTTTTTTATGATATATAGCAGATTTAAACTGAAAGTTTGTTGTTCTTATATTAAAATAATTCTATTAAGTTCTTAACGAAGAGGCTAGTACGGTTCTAAAGACCGGGGTTATTATTCAGTTTATCAGGGAGGATGGGCAAATCATCTTTCGTGAGGAAAAAACCCGAATATTTCTAATGAATTTTCATTTGGAAAACGGTAATTGCAGATATTCTGCATTGCTATCTATCTCGGTTTATCAGCACACATAAAACGTTTGGTACATCAATGATACTGCCCTCATATTCTGTGAAAGTATCATTTTAAAAACACTGGGATATACTCTCAGTATTGAATAATGTTGGGTATTGGTGAGAATGTCAGGGATTGAAATGATACCTAGGTGTATCTAAGGAAAGACAACAGCTTAATGATGTTATCAATTGGATAGTTAGCATTCGCAAAGTACGAACATTTAGCAAGCAAAAAGTGAAAGATTTAAAGAGATAGAGAGGAAGAAACAAAGAGAGGCAGAAAAGAAAATGGCAGATGACATTTTATAGTGAAAGAAAAACAAATTTATAAGGAGAGTGAAAAGAAAAATATTAAAAAATGAAGTAGCAAAAAAAAAAAAAGAAAAAAGAGAGATAAAATGTGTAAGAAAATAAGGGAACATCGAGGAAGGAAAACTAGAAAGTATATGAAATAAAAAAGATAACGAAAGAAAGGTAGAAATAAAAAAAGAAGGAAAATAAAAACGGAAAAGCAGTAAGAAAGAGGAAAATAAAATAAAAACGAAAATACGTGGAGTATATGAAAGAATTGAAGAAAGAGAGGAAGAAAGGAAGGTAAAAAATGTTATGAAGAAAGAATAGACATAAGAGAGAAAATGAAAAAAAAAGACCATGAAAAATTGACTGAAAAATGATGTAGAAAATGGAGGGCAAGTGAAATCGAGATAATGAGAGGAAAAGGAAAAAGTAAGAAGATTGGAAAGAGAGGTTAGTGAAAGAGAGAGTAGTGAAAGAGAGGGTAGAGAAAGAGTGGCAAAGAAATAATCGTCCTTTTGAAGGATGAATTTATCACCAAGATTGGCAAGTAAGAACAAGTTTTGAATTTGAATAACTTGTAAGTGGTAGGTAAAAACTAAATACAGTGTTTGAAATACAACTTGGAATAATTATGTAAGCGATAAAAAGAATAAGAATTCGCGCAGGTACATACTGACTTCGTCAGATATATATATATCTACGCACGGACATGCGTATCTCAGTGTACAATATTTGTTTGCGTATGTGTTTCTGTGTGCGTAATACTTAGAGTAATACTTAAAGGCTCTATATATCGGTATATTAATGGGTGTTTATAGATAAATATGTATAAACACACATACAGGTATATGTATATATGTGTAGATTTATGTATGTGCAGAAATATCGTAGAAGTGGAAGCATGTAAGCAACTGTATTCATATATATATATATATATATATATATATATATATATATATATATATATGAACAATTGTGTTTTTCCTTTGATTGTATAAATAGCCATGTTAGAGATACAAATTCGAGCGTTGGTTTTTAAGGCAGGTAGGTTAACACTATATTTGCGTCTTATTACTAATTATTTATCTATGGTAAGTTTATTTTGATGCAGTAACCAATGGGGAATGTTTGTCAATTGAAAAATCAGAATTCGAATTCATAGCTTTTATCTGGTTTCTATAAGTGCTATAAATGTTACAAACCCAGTTATCTTAGACACCAAGGTGACTGATACTCATATATGTGTTCATTTTTCACGCACATATGTCACGAGAGTTAGGAGGGCAATAGCGACTGATAAAGGAAGAAAGAGAAAAGAGAGAGATACTGATAAAAGAAAGAAAGAGAGAAAGAGAGAGAGAGAGAGATCGAAGTAAGAGAGAAAAAGCGGATGAACTGATGAAGTGACTGAAGAAAAATGATGAGATAAGAAGGAGATCAATTAGATTTCAAGAAAACATTTGTCCACGTATAAATGTTCCATCATTTCTAAAATGTCGTCATTCCACATCGAGTCGTGTTAGAAACTGCACTTTGTATTGACGTCGGCCGTTTGAAAACCCGTTACATGTGTCACCTGATATTTTCCCGCTCTGCTTCTCGCTTCATTTTCTATTTTTTCTTTACTTAAATTTTCGATAGAATGACAGCATTAGTAAAACTAATTCATAAGCAGTAAGACAGACGTTAATGACATGTTGATAGAGCTCTGTGATTAAAGGCACGATGTCGCAATAACAAGGCTACACATTGTTTTGTGTCCAATTCAGCGATGTTAATTTCTCATCCAGTTTGTATATGCTCATATATGTTGGATTTCAAACGTTTCTTCTTTAACGATCGCCTCAAGAGAAATACAGAAACATTTTTATTAGGAATTGGAGGTGCTGAAATGTTCTAGGCTAAACTATTCACAAAATCTAAACAAATGACCGAGATTAAGATTTTATGAGATGAAGTGAAGTCTTCTTGATCACACCGAGAACTTTTAGTGCCTCCTTGTACCTAACTATCACGAGACAAGGTTGGGGTAAACGAGCTAACGAGATATCGTACTCATTTCAATGGAGAGTGGGTGCAAATATTTTACATGATATATTTACATCTGCGTCTCTGAAAATAAATAAATAAAATTAATTAATTATCATATATGTTGCCTGAAGTCATTTTTTCTTTTTTCATGCCTGTAAACATTTTTTTTTCAAATTACATGAATATAAAATATAATAAATCAACTTGTTATTGCAAGAATTAGGTGAATGACGATTGTAATTTATTTTATTAATGAGTGTCAGCAGATATATTCCTTCTGAAGGTTGATCGAAACTGTTATAAAACTAACAATGATGAGACATTTATGAGATTCAAATAAATCATAAATAAGTAGCAATGACGCAATAGACACTTTTCCAACAAGGTAAAAATTATTTTCAGCAACATCGATTTCAGAAATATAAACGTTCTTAAAATTGCTTCAAATTTTTTATTTAAGTGAATGAAAATTATTTATATGGGGTGCGACAGAAATACCTCTCACATATACCTCCCATAAGTACTTCACACATAAGATATTAGTGGCAATTGTGTATTCATCTAGTCTTACTAACATGTGGAAGGTATAATGGTTACATTTTACCACTCGTACTGATGATCAGCATTCAAACTTAGATAAAAACCAGGAATTGATTGCTGATCTTCAAGACAGGAAATCAGGCAGGCCCTCCCTACTTGCCAAATAGCCGCAACACATTCCTCTTATCCTTATTTTTTCTCAGTTCTCCGTCAATTTGGGTAGAGTTTGGGTTAGGGTTAGTCATAAATAATCTGTTTTTTTTTTTTTCAAATTTTATTCTTAAAAGGGTATAATTAGATTTTATTCACTTACATATTCGCCATTACATGCAATGACATTTTGCCACTTATCAGAGAGCTTTTCGATACCTTTTGAATAAAATTTCGCAGATTTACATGTAGAAGAGATTTCGACGAATACTTGAACCTGGATTTCATTAGAGAAAATTTTCCCCGTCAAATCATTTGGTAGCGATCGAAAAAGGTACATGGTCAGATTTTTGTCCCTCTACTGAATTTTGCGTTGTACATTGTCAGATGCAACCCATCTTTCTCTCGCCTGTTATGATAGATTTAAGAAACAGTTAGGATGATACATTCGTCATGACATTCGGTTCCCATAATTACTTTTGACAACATAACACACACACACAGACGCATATATATATATATATATATATATATATATATAATCGTGCTTACACGTGTGTTTGAGAGAGATAAAGAGGTGAGAGTGAAAGTGAGAAATACAGCTAATACATGAGGCAGAAGAATCCCAAGTTCGTTTATCATCAAGCTATAAGTTTATATATGTATGTCGATTTTTGCAGAGTGAATTTGAAAGCTGGTAATCTAAAACTACCTGATATCCAAAATGTCTCCTTCGACCAAAAAGAACAGATATGCTTGGTTTCTTTTGCTTAGTTGTTTGTAATTCGATTATTTTATTCAGTTTTTTGGGGGCGTTCTCGTCATTTTACTTATTTTCCTTTAAACGTTTTGGCGTTTAAAATTTGTTTTATTTGTAAAATTTACCTCGTCTATCATATCAGTTATTTTCTTTGCGCTTTTAATTCGTTGCGTTGTTTTAGTATCTCCCTTGTAGTTGCTATGTCGTTTTCGCCTTTTATGTCATATTCACACTTTACTTTTAACAATATCCTATATTATTCCTTTTTGATATTTAAACTAAAATCGCAAGTTATTTTCAGTCTCTTACTTTACTATAGTGATCCTTTATTTATATTCGATGCTTAGTTTTCCACTGATTCTGTTAATCTTATTACTGTTGTTGCAGTTACCTCATTTCGAGCAGTTAAATTTATTTGGTATTTTAATTTTTCCTCGTTGTCATTTTAATGCGCTACGTTTTTATTTCTCTTATGTTTGTTTTAATTTTTTCAGCTTTCTCATAATTTGTGTCGTTTTCTTGATATTTTAGTTAGCTTTCCTATTTCTGAGTTTTTCCTCTTCCTTTTTAAATCCTATATTTCTTATTAGACTTTCCTATTTATTATTATTATTATTATTATTATTATTATTATTATTATTATCTTTAAATTTTTGATGTTTTTAATTCTGTTAATCTTTAAATCTATCTAACGGCTCAGATTGAGGAATCGAAGAAGCGAGTTCGAATTCCAGTCGAATCCATTACATTCACTTACGTGCTAATGCAAGTCCTCTTCTTCTTATCGCCAGCTATAAATAGTAAATCAGACCAGGTTCTTACTCACCAACTATAAATAGTAGGACAGACCGGGTTCTATAGAAAGAAATTGCAACCTACCTCATCAGTTATGTATTGAAAAACAGTTAAACAGTGTATCACGCATGGCACATAACTGACTGAGTGAGTAGTAGTATCAGTTATAACTGATAGTGAATTTGGTGTTATAATAATTCTGTCTTCAGTCTCGGCGCTGTGTTATATGGATACACTCAGCACTCAGCCTCATTGGAAACAGGAATAACAATAAATGAACACACCTATTATTAACCAAATGGAGATATCTCTATATATGGAGAGTGGATTGGGAAAAATCTGCTCCGTAGGCTAAATAAAAGGTTCAGTTCGAAATAATCCGAAAGTTACATGGATCAAGAGGCACCTGAAGAGGGCCGGATATCACAACGGCTGAAACGTTATGCTGGTAACAAAAATTATAAGGATATTAGTCCAACTGCAAATAAATCAGAAGTAGAGAAACCAGTCATTTTCAAAAGAAAGCGGAAGTAGAAGAGTCAATAAACAATCGTCTGATGGACAAAGTGACGGTGTTGAGGATAGAGTGGAGAAAGAAAGGGAACATTATTTTATTTTAATGTTATCGTGAATTTTGTCGTTAGCAAGGCATAATGGCTGAACGAAAGTCCTGAGGAAGGAAAGCAACCCATTTACTCAATTATTGGCCCTAAACACACCTGAGTAACCAAAAGGTGAGAGATATTCTTTGTCAATATTTATGATTTTCGATTAAAGAGATGGCTGTGTCGAGAATGTTAAACGCATCCTTCGTTGTGTTTGCTTTTTTTCAAGAGAAATAAAAAATGCCTTCGTTTAATCGTTATCTACTTGTAAAATGACTGATACCCAAGAAATGAAACGGTATGCAACCTCAAATTTTGCGCTGATCAAGTTTTGACGATTACCGGCATTCATCAATTTTGATGCAAATTGGACAACATTTAGTTTCAGCCTCGATTTCAAATCTAGTACTGCTATGGAGAAATTGGTACAGCAAACTGAAAAGAACTTTTCATAACTGGAAAGAATTGTTTCTATATAAATTAGGAATAAATACATTTTTATAATGAGCAAAAAGCGGAAATTGGAATTATTTGCACAGTATACATAAAGATAAGTGTATGAAAAATATACGAACATTTAAAAAATCAAACATTAATTTTAACTAAAAGACAATCAACGATAACAAATTATTTTAAATAGAAGCAAATTTTATACTGCAGGGAATGAAGGAATTGCCGGATTCCACGAGAATGATTCTGTCACTCACAGATGAAAGGCGTGTGTCGAACTCTACAAAAGATTGCGTTAGTAGCAGAAGAATAAGAAAGGAACGGATCTTCTAGGAATTATTTTTCATAGAACTGAAACAATTTCGAAAGGAATTTCAGAAAAACATAAAACGTTTCATACCTACAATGGACTGATCGGATATTAGAGACCCTGGACATTAATAAGGAAATAGAATATTTTAACCTAATGTTTTTAACTTCGATATATAACAGAAAAATATATGAAAGCTAAGTACCTGTCATAAAATGATGCTTAGTATGCCAGTCATACAAACTATTATTGGTCAGTTCCATCATTATCATTAGACACATTATGACGGTTCCACGGTACCAAATTTTGTCCATGTTCAAGCGAATTCACTACTCGTTAATTTTGAAATTTTCTTTGTATGCAGTTAATAATAATAAGAGTTGAAATGAATGTCTGAAAGATTTCACAACTCTAACATTAATCCTTCGTAATCAACCTTTGAACTTTTCAGCCCAATCTCGCCTGAAGAGAATGAGGGTGGTTTAACATGCAAAGGTGGAGGGGATTAGTTAGCTCCGGCCAGGATGTGGCAGCAATACTCCATTTTTGTATTACTATGTTCTGTTGATATTGGCAAAGATCACATGTGAAACGGGAGTCTGTCTTAATACATATGACATACAGAAATCTTGTTAGAGATTATTTGAACATCTTTATGACCGACAAATTTCTTGGTGATGATGGCAAAATAAAGTAATCACACGTTTGTATCTGATGAGACGAAACTAATTCAAAGTTTGACTTCCAGGCACTCTACTCAGTCCAGCGCTTACCAGATTTAATACCATTAATCATCTATATTGAAGAACTCACTAACTTCCCTGTTTTCAACTCCAACAGACACAACATAGATATGGGCAGTTCAAGGATGTACCTGAGTAGATATACTTACGAAACGATTCCAAACTTCAACGTGTCTATATCGGAACCCATCGTCATTGACAATAGAGATGTGCAAGGTGAAATTCTTTCTCCAACTTTATTCTCTATCTACTTTGCTGTGGATCTCACCTGTTTTCCAGGATTGCTAAGTTAGTTAGTACTTGCATTTTACACCAGACACAGTTGTTCTATAACTGGTCAAAACACCTATCATAGAGAAGCTGATCCTTCACAATCAGTGCGCTGGACAAGGACATCCCAGGAGGATGAGAGATAAGAGATAGTCAAAGAACCTGTTTTACGGTGATTTCGCTCTTGGTAAGTGCTACCGACCGAAGAAAGGTTTCGAGGATGTTGTTAGAGAACGTGAAAATACTGTCAATGACAGAAAGGAGGCAGACAATAGTTCTGATTGGAGAAAGCTGTTTTTTGATGATTGCAAACACTTTGAGGTCAACAGGGTAGATCATTCGAAGTTGAAAAGAGCGCTTAGGAAATATGAGGTAGACTCGATTCCAAAAGATATTCAGTTTGAGCTTGTATGGTTGTTCTATCTGTTGCTGTATTTGCTAGTCACTTAAGATCGCATTAAAATCAACGGTCTAATGACGACTATATGAATTTACCTTCGTGACAGACCTTCAGTTTACTTAGTCAGTCTTCCACCTAGCTGAAGAGGCACATGAGAATGCACGAGGAGAAAGTCACTTTCAAGATTCTTCAACAGTCCATTTCTACCTGTTAATCTGATTTGAGGTTTTCAAGCAAGTTAAGAACTTGCTTAGTAGTTTAAATAATGACATATTCACCACCTAGTGCCAGAGGTCAGTGTTCGGTTTCAAGCAAATGCCATAATTTTGCATTTTTCAAGGTAAGCCTTGTTCACTTGAAGTTTTTTTAGCTGCATTTTACTTGGGTCGTACGTAGATGAGTTTAATAAAGATCCACTTTCGTATGAAAACTGGGACTTTGTATCATGCGCTTAACAGGAAACAAGTTGGAAATGCTTCAACGAAATTATCTCGGTTAGCTTACAAAAAAAAATAAAGATTCCAATGACAAGGAAGTATTTTGCATGAAAAAATATCCTTTCAACATGGCGGCAATATTTATAAGGAAAAGGAAAATTAGTTTTTAAACGACAATGAACTTCATTTCTCTTTCTCGAGTGGAAAGGTTTCCCCGACCAAAAACAAAAACAAAAACAAAAAAAAACAAATATTAATAATTTATTTTGTATAACATAACATTATGTAAAAGTTATTAGGATATTTTATATTAATGACAAGCAAAACAGTTTCAATAGCGTATGTTTCTAATGCTATTTGGAGAGGTGATGTACACTGGCGAGTATACACTTAAAGAACTTAGTTTGGCACGACTTTCTCGATCATAAAAGGCAGTTTGCACAAGGATTTTCTGTTACGAATGTCATGTATTACATGACAACTTGTCACTTGTTTGTTGGTGATAAGTTGTGCACCGATAAGTAAGATACTAGAGATGACATGAAGAACTCAGCATAACGCCCAATGATTTCAAAGACGACAAGGTCAGACAGTTACCCAGTGAATACGCGGGGCTTATTGTGCATATAAATGTGACGTATTTTTTTCTGTGTTTAGATGCGTTCACATATGTAATATCCTGAATATATATATATATATATATATATATATATATATATAAGCATATTTTATACGTATAAAGGTAACAGTTAAAACCGCGTTGTATGTATGTGTGTATATATATGTGGGTATGTACGCACACGAGAGTGTGTATATGTGTGTGTACCTAAAATTTACCCCAGTTATATATATATATATATATATATGCGTGTGTGTTCGTTTGCATATATTTATGTGTATGCAGATATTCACTCAAACGTAAAACACACACACACACAATATATATATATATATATATATATATATATATATATATATTCTCTGTCACTCCCAAACCATTTAACTCTGTACCGAATAAGACAAAAGCTAGTTATTATGGTTTTAGGTCTGAATTTGGGCAAATGCAAGCCGTGGGAGTTCATGCAACCGGCGGGCGAATTGTGCTAAAGTGATAGTAAGGTGGGTGATTTTGGGGGTGGCGGTTGCGTAATGATGGGCAAGTGCTGGTCTATGTCCTCCCTGTCAAATCGGCCCTGGCCGTTGCCCTCCCCCAAGTTGAACCATCGCCCCTGTCCCTAGGCCACAACTCTTCTCCCTGTGTCTCTTCTACTTAATTCTGCTTTGATTGCTGTCCTAGTGAAAAAGCACTAATACCTCTGCCAACGACGACGCATAGAATGCATCGATTTCTCGCGAACGTTTTGATAATTGACCGAGACCAAAACACGATTGTCAACGCAGGAAAACAAAATGGCGAATAATTCAACTGAAGCTATAAAAGTTTTTATTTTTGGTGGGGAGGGAACAATTTGCTTTTATTAATGCACAAAGCGAAATGTCAGATGTACGTGAGGAAAGGCACTCGTTTACTGCAAAAGGAAGTGCGTTTGATAAGAAAATAGAATAAAGAAAGTGAAAATAAATGAACAAGAAATATCTGGAAAAACCTATGAGAGAAAAGAAATACTTTCTAATTGCGAGTGAAAAACACGAGGAAAAATAAAGAAAAAACAGAGTGGGAAAGAGAATGAAGGAAAAAAATGTGTGCAAAAGAAAGAAGGACACAACAATAGCAAAAAATGATAACCAGAAAATGGAGAAGTAAGAAAGACGTAGAGAGAGAAGGATGCAAAATATTCGAACTTTTATTTATGGATAAATTGAGAAATAGATAGACTGTTATTGAGAGAGATAACAAGAAGGCAGATAAAGAGAGAGAGAGAGAGAAAAAAATCGTTAAGATAAAGAAAGAGAGGATGAAAATTTATTAAAGAAAAAATGAAAAGAATCCGAGTAAAATTGAAGGAAAAAGCAAAAGGAAAAAAATACGATTGTAGCCAGAATGAAGAATAGAATAATAACTAAATCTTGAATGACTTGCCATTCTGCGAAAGGAAATTGGGAGAACCGTAAATAAGCTGTAATTGTTTCGTAGTTCAAGTAATAAAAAATTCCTAGAAATGATCAAATAGAATCAGAGGACGAATTCCTAAGGCAGAAAGATATCAACAGAAAAATCAGATGTCTGCAAGCAAATTAAAAACATGCAGTTAAATTGAAAACATTCTGAAATATTCAAAAAGAGTTTATTGTTTACAAAATAAAGTGTATGTGAGACAGAAGACACAGAATTCATAATCAACGCTGAATGAACATTTTCAATTTATGGATTAACCTTTTAATTCAGAACCACTTAGTTACAAGTGTCCCAATAATTATGTAAACATACATA